AACCAGACAGATGTTAAATTAAATGCAGTTAGGTTATGTTCATACTACACTGATAAAAACCCTGGACCTTTGGTATCTCTGACAAGATTCTGTTCTTCAAAATGGTGGCAGAAAGGAAGTTACAATTTAAATGAAGCATAATTTCAAATCTGTAGACCGTCATAGTGTCCTCTTCCCTACTTCACTAAATGCTTTAAATAATTTTATTTCCTAAACAGAGGACATTCTTTACAGATGGATATTACAGAATTAACACTGGAGGTTGCAGTTCATTTTCAACTGCAAATGCTTATCAATAGTATAAAGTCAGGACCCAAATCAATAATATAAAGTTAGGACCCAAACTTTGTCTTTGTGACATCAGTGAACCAAAAGTAAATACAGCAAAGTTAGTGAAGTTACACTAGCATGATGGTCTAACCCAGTGTTTATGAAAGTCAGCCAAAGCTGATTAGAGATTTGAGAGGCCTTCAAACTGCCACTGTTGTGTGACAGAGATATCTGTATTTCCTTAAAATTCTCCAAACTGAGGTAATGAATTTACCTGAAATTTATCTCCAGGCAATTTCAGATTATGAGCTAATGAATGCATTTTTTCTTGACCCACTTACAAATATTAAATACATAATTTTATTTTCCTCTACAAAAAAAAGATTGTTAAAATACAAACCCATCTCCTCTAAAGTTTAACACATCTTTTTATATGTCACTACTGATCCTCTTGACACAGTAGTGACACAATTCATATCAGGAGAAATACTTGAAATACTCAGTATTACTACAGCACACCGAAGACACAGTGTAGACTATTCTACATGGACACTGTAAGAAGTAGAAAGCATGATAATGATGATGCACCTTTATAGGTAGGGTGCAGCTTCTTTTGAGAAGACTGGCTTCCTTTATAGTGGTTTAGAGGAAAATGAAGTTCTGTCATAGGATTTCCCAAAATCTGCAGCTGGTAAAATATGACACCTCACCCCTCCCAGTAATGTTAAGACAGTAAGAACATCTGTAAATATTCAAGTAGTAGGATTCAACCATGTCTTTCTCTTTTTTCAAATCTTTTTTTTAATACATTTTAGAAATATTTTGCATTTATAAGTGAGAGCATTCATCAATGGAATTGAAGAACCCAGAATGTAGAACATTTTTCTCCTAAAGTTTCATTGTCTAAATGGTATTAAATATTTTAATTATAGATTCTACTTTTCCTGATGAAATCCAGTTTGTTTCTCCAGGCTACATTCAAGACCAATTGCAAAACTGAAATATACAAAATTTTATATAAAATATATAAAGTAAATTTGAAATAATTAAATTTCACAAACAAAAATTTGTGTAGGAAAGGTCCTAAAATTCCAAGTTAAGATTTCAGAGGGTGTATTACCCTTTCAAGTTTCAGTGAGGATCAAAGTTTTCACCTATTTCTCCTGTGATTTGATCTGTCCTCCCACATCAATATTAAGTAAATATTCTATCAGATAGATCTAAATTCACACATATAAGTAAGCCCGCTGAAGCCAACAGGGATGAGAACAGAAATGTTCTCCTCTTAAAAAAAAATAAATTGAAACAATATCCTTAAAAAATCATAATTAAAGCATTAAGACATTGATTTTCCCACTTGACTTGTGTGATGCTTAGTATGGTGAAAATCATTGATTTACAGTAATATCTGTTTAGCACGGCAATATTCTGCTCAGGCACTCCACATAGACTGCAATCTGTCCTTACACAGTTGATTCTTCCATTTTAGTAGGATGTAAAATAACACGTTATAATAATAATTAAGGGTTCCAGAACTTAAAGTACCTGAATTTGTAACTGGTTCTATATATTCAGTTTTATTTAATCTTTATGTGCATACAGGTCTTGCCTAAAACAGCACAGAAGTTCATTCTCATGAGCAGCCAGCACACCAGCTAAGGAATTCATCTCCTCCAGAGGAAGGAAGGAAGACAGCAGATGTTTCAAAATCATGTTTCTCTCTGCTTGTGGGCTACAATCACAGTCACAAATAGTAGACATCTCTGCAGCCCCAAGGGAGGCCAAAATGCAATGTCTGCACGAGGCTGCCCAGCAGAGGAGTAGAAAAAGAAGCAGTGCACCAGCTCCATTGGATGCATCAAGAACACACTCCCTCAGCTCCTGGGCTACATTTGCAAACAGAAAATGAGATTCCCCTGCACTAGCTCACTCTATACTCATCACCCTGAACTCAACTGAGAATCAACAGGCAAAACCATGCACCACCAGAGATTAGTGAATTACTGCATAGAAGCAACTTCTCAGTGAGTTATTTAATGAGATGGAGGACAGGGAAGGATTTTGTCCAGAGTGACAACTGGAAACAAGAACCCGTTGCTATAAGATAAGAGGACTAGAAAATGTTTGAACTGTGAAGAGTGAAAGGAAGGAGTAGAAAGATATAAAGGCAAGAAATATACAACCCAGTGTATGGGGATACAGTATGGGTAAATGCAGGTTGTATAGAATGTAATCTTATCCCCTAAGGAGTTGTAGCTGAACCAGTTATTAAAGATTAGGAGCAGGCCTGACTTAACCAGGCCACAGCTGTAGTCAATAAGAAGAGTGTTATAAAAGAGTGGATTGGTTGGTTAAGGGGAACTGGTGTTAGTTGGCTACTGTGCAGTTAGTGCTGGGAGGAGCTGCCTACAAGAAACATCAAGAAGGTACAAAACTCTAGCAATATGGAACCCTTGCAACATAATAACAGTAGAACTCTTACTATATATGACAACAACCCAGAGCAAGATGAGGTTTGCAAGCAATTGATTTTTTTTTTAATTGACAGTTGATCAAGCAGAGAGTTTTCCAGCTTCACTCTGAAAAAGCTTGCATTTCCTAAAAATGTGGCTTCCATTTTCCCAGCTATATCAATAGATGGAATGGAAAATACTATGTGTTTTTACTTACCTTGTATTTATTCTCTATGTCTTTGGAGTCTCAAGATTGCAACAATCAAGAGCAACACAAATCAAGACAAAATCAGCAAGATGATTACTCTATGAAAGCAGAGAGACATGAATTGGACAGCTGTTTCCATAGAGAAGAGCAGAGAAGTAAGAAGAGAAAAGTCAAGCAATTCTACATGAAGTAATTCTATTTACAGAAGTCAGAAAAAAACACAGATCTGAAATCCAGCCTTCTGAAAGTGGTTTACTCCTTTAAGCAGATAGTTTAATTTCCCTTTCAATGTCCAGGTTACATAGTTTCCATCTTGTTTTATTCAAGAGCTTGTATTGCCAACTTTCAGAGCAGAAGTGTGTGGCACGTCCCTTCTTGAGCTGTAAAACATCCCTGTTGTTAGAGGAAAAGGTTCAAATCAATAGTAGACAGTATTTGATGGAAACAAAGCTTTTCATTCCAGCTTTTACTCCTTCATGATGTAAGTTCAGGAGAGATTTTGAATACATGATGAACTCCAGTTGATCTTGCACTATAAATCTTCGGCAAGCTGGAAGGGTCAGAGTTGTTATTCAAGTAATTTACATTTTCCGGAGTTCAAGTTCATTGATCCTTCAAATCTTAAATTTTTAATATTTTAAGGAACCTTTTTAAAATGTGCATATATCAGGATTTCTCCAAAACACATTAAAAAGAAAAGAAAATTACTATTGGCCAATAAAAATAAGTCAGTGATCCATGTGTTTCCCATATGCAGACTACTAATGGTTTTTAGATCCTGTCATATTGCATCCTCATATGATTGCTTGTTTTATGATAATTATTAGAATTAATTAGTATTAATACTCCAACCCTTCACCTGGACTACAGGCCATTAAGCAGTTTATCAGCTGGCAAACAGCTCAGAGCTATTGCCATATTGGTAGGGTTCCCAGTAAGAGCAGGCTCAGCAGCACTAAACACTGAAATCACCTGTGTTGTTTTATTTGTTAGGCACACTTAGTAAACTGTTTTTAAAATTAACTTTTGAAGCTCTAAAAAAGGAGGAGTTAAAATTATCCTATAGACCCATTGGGCTACCAGCCTTTCAAAGCATGAGTCCCTTGGAAATGCCTCTTGACTTTATGCAGAAGCAGTGGCAGACAATTGCTTTTAAGACCTGGCTAGAGAAGTAGATACCTCTTCTTCTTTTCTATCTGTTTTTTAAGTACCCATACAGAAAATAGGTGACAGAGTTCCATTTCACCTTGGCCAAGGACTAGTCAAACTCATGTCTTCTACCTCCAGAATGAGTTCTAGTCACCCAGCTGTCCTTAAAAGGTGAGGAGAGGGATGATCTTCATCATCCTGGCAGAAGTATGTTCCTTCCATTTTCCATAAATGAAATCAAGATTCAGGGGCTAGAAAACAGATACATAACTCCAGCATAATGGCTGGGTAGAAAAGATAGCAATTTCATGTCACATGAATCCTCATTTCTGAGTAGACTTTTCCCTTGGCAGTGAAAAACCCCTGTAAGAAGGGCAGAGTCAACTAATTTTCCTCATGACCAGCATCTCAACTTTTCTTAAATGTCCTCAGGGTTGCTCAGGATCTTGTGCCCCAAAATAGAGGACACCAACCATGTCCACAGAATTTGCACCCCTTTAGGGATCCTGATCTAAGTCCTTTGCTGTGCTACTCCCTGAGCATTTAGCCTCATGGGATAAATGAGGTATCCGGAGGTATATTTGCAACACCAAACATGCAGTCACCAGCTATTACCTCTTCAGCAGTCTTACCTCTCACCACCTGCAATGGAGCAGGAGAAGCCGATTTGATCATAACAGTTTGATTTGAAAAGATGGCTAAGAGACGAATGTCATCAGACCAGGCTTCTCTCCTACCCCTCATTTTGCCCATTCCTGCCCTTTTGTAAGCCCCATTGCCACGAACATAAGCAATTTATTTTCCTAGTCTCCTTTCTTCCACCCTTGCCCCCTCGGACGCGCTGGGACGGACCTGCCCACGCCACTTCAGTGCGGGGCCGGAGCCGCCCCCGTGTGCCCACGAGAGGGCTGTGAGGGCTCTGGGGGTCGGCACAGCCCCAGCACCGAGCCCAGGAGCCAGTCCCGTTTCTGCCGGCCCCGCCGGGTTGCCGCGGGCACTCGGTCCCGCTGGTGCAAGGGACGCTCCGGGCGGGCTGGCTCACGGTGCCCGCGGGCTGCGCACGTCAGGGGAGCCACCCGTCACGGCCGTGCGATCCCGGCATATATAGGGGATGCGGGGGCACCGCCGGCCGATCGCAGCAGCTCCGTGCCGGGCACGGGCTCCGCAGCGCTATGGCCCTGGCCCGGGCGGTGGGGCGGGCAGGTGAGCGGGCGGGGTCGGGCCGGGCGGGGGCACACCCCGACATTCCGCGCCCCGACATTCCGCGCCCCGACGCCGCCGCCCTCTCCGCAGGTGCGGCTGCGGCGCTGGCGCTGCTGTGGCTGCTGGTCTGCGCTCCGGGGGACGCCGGCTGTCACCCCCTGACCGTGGCCGATCTCTTCGACCGGGTGATCCGGCACTCGGGCAGGATCCACAGCCTCTCCACGGCGCTCTACGCCGAGCTGGTGAGTGCCGGGCCGGCCCCGCCGCGGAGCGGGGCTTGCGCCGCCCTGGGAGCGGGTAGGGGAAAAGGCGGGGATGTAGCGGGGTGGCGGTGCCTCTCGGTGCACGTCTAGGTGTTCTTCCCCCGTAGGAAAAACACTTCCCTCCCCGTGACAACGAGCTGGGAAGGCCCGCTCGGAAGTGCCACACGTCGGGGATGCTGACCCCCAACGGCAAAGAGTACGCCCAAAAAATCCCGGTAAGGGAGCGGCGGCGGACAGAGACAGGGCAGAAGGGGGGACCGCCAGGCTGGAGGACGGAAAGGGGACCCTGCGGGTCACACCGCCTTCTTCCTCCCCTCCCTGGAGAAAGGGGAATACACCTCCTGTCCTGTCAGAACCCCAAAGTGTCTCATTCATCACGCTGTAATGGTTCCCCACTCCAGTCAGGCTGGAGATAGGCAGAGAGGTTTTTATGCTTCCGCAGCTTCATCAACAATCTGGAGGAAAGAGGCTGCTAAGTTTTGACCTCAAACAGGTGCACACCACAGAGGTATTGCATATGAATCTTAAATTAGTTGAATTTTAAATCTGTAAATTGAATCTGTAAATATGATACCTAAAATTTGATCATAAACACTAATTATAATAACTAGTATAATAACTAGTATAATAACTAGTATCTCCTACTATTGCAGTAGTACTTTGTCAGAATGATTGACAGACATCCTTTGATTTTTTTGAGGCAGACTCTGTGGGACAGAAACTCAGAAACTTGTGTATGTGGCAAAGAAGGTACATTCATCAGTATAACTGCAAAGTACAAAAAGCAATCAGGAGAAGGAAACAACAGTAATCTCTGAATCAGTAGTTAGGTAAGGGGAAAAGAACAGCAAATTTGTTTACATCACATTGTGATGGCAAAGAGAAAAAAAAAATCATTATTAGCTTAGAGAAGAGTAGGAAGAGTTTGTTCATATAGAGGAAAAGCAAATTGTGATGTTGGGGATAGACCAGTGGGAGAAACTTTTGCGTCTAGGAGACAGACAAAGACAAATGGTAACATTTTGGGTTTTGGTTGTGATGGAGTGAGGAGTTTCCTCCTGAATGTCCTTCTAGAAGGTCCCCTGGAAGGGCAATGAAAGGTGGCCCTGCTCATGTTAGCTGAAAACATGACAAATACAACTTCTAGGTGTTATTATTTATATAGATACAAATAACCAGAGACACAGTGGTGTTTTAGTAGTAAATTGCAGATGTAAATCTTGACCCCACTAAGATTTCATAATGAGACTAAGAGTATTCATATGATCTGCTGCAAAGTAGGAGACACGTTCTCTACTGTTTCAATTTATAAGAGAGAAGAACTAACTCACGTGATACTGAAACTTTTGCAAGCCTGGAAAGAACCACTGTCCCACTTTAACCAGCATATTGAGCACCATCAAGAGCTACCTGATGACAGCCTTAGCAAAGCTAAGCAAATCAGCAATATGGTACATGAGCTGAAGACTGGAGTCGAGAAAGTAACAGAAAAGGCAAGATTTTTGATGTAGTTTTTATTTATATCGGTTATGTGGCATGGGTGACTTCGAAGAGGGGGCAATGTCTGCTCCTCCTTGGGCTTGGAGGCTCTTACTCAGCAAAATGCAGGACTTTGTTAAAGATACTTTAACAAAGTATCTTTCCATCAGAGAAGGTGGCTAAGCTATAGATTGGAAGATATGAAGATGGTATTATAGGAGTCCATATCTGTGAGGAAATATTTTATTAATATTACATGTATGAACAACACACACAAGTAAAAAGGCTAGACCCTTCTGTATCTTCATATATGAGCCAGTAATGACTTGAGTTTTCTAGGCCAGGAGAGAAGATGTGGGTAGACCATGACAAGTGCTTAATAATTGTGTTAAGTTTTATTTGTATTTAAATTCTAAGCAACTCAAGTTTCACTGCTGTCTGATGCAAAGGACTCCTTCCTAAGGCAATAATTTTATGCTGGGGTAAGTTCTTCAAGACAACAGTGGCATCACTTGAGTCTGATGTCAGTCACAAAATAATTTCAAAACTCCATTCCATATTATGCAAGATTATGTATAAATCATTGGATGAAATTCTTTGTTATTTCCATTTCTGTCTTCTCATTTCTTGCTAAAGTCCTGACCTTTGCATTTTTTGTGCCTTTATATCTAAAATTAACTGTGATTTTGGCAAATGAAATCTGTGTGCCCATTCTCTAAATGACTACACTGCTGGAGTATGTGTTTCACTAAAAAAAAGTGATTAATAAACTAGTATCTTACACTAGTAGATTGCCTTTCAACTCTAGGTGGGGAATACAAGTTTTAAAAGGGTAAGCAGTTCATCACTGGAATAGGCCAAATAGTACCCTACTGCAAAATGCAGCCCTGGTTAGAGTGACTTGGAGTTACAAAGGCAGCCATGGTTCTGGGCTAAAACAGCCTTAAAGTTCAGAAGTGTTCAACCTCAAAGCTTGACCTTTGCTTCTTTCTGTCGCTGAAGCAAACTCTAAACCAGATACACACTTTTGGTGTATTTACATGCTTTATTTTTTCTAAAGCACCTTTGAAGTACTAAGAAGGAAATTTCTGCGGTATTGATTTCTTTGTACCATGGATATTTATAAATAGGGTAGAAATAAAATTACAAAAATTAATGCATTCCATATTTTGCAGCTATGTCTTCCTGTTTAAAATTAGGGAAATTCTAAACTTGCTTTTGTTGTGAAGCACCCACTCTGAGAGGTGATCACAGCCTGTAGAATTCACTAGGTTAAATTAACAGCACTGGTGGATGCTCATGTTAGGATCTTCCCTTCACAAAAAGCATAAAAATAAATAGCTGAAATATCTCAAGGCTGATTTGCTATAATACTTCAAGAGGAAATAAGGATTACCAAAAAGGGGTTCCTCTACTTAAACTCAGATGAAGTATTCATTACTAGTGTATCAAGAAATTTCAGTCCATGTTAAAAGCTGCAGATACCATAAGGATAAAAAGACAATGTTATTCTGTGTAAGGATCTTTACATATATCTTCAGTAAGTATGTGAAAGATCTGAATAGCAGAGCCCAGTGGAGTGGCACCTCAGTTGTCTTCTGCAGTAGTATTTTCAGTATTTGTTCTGTGTGTAGTTACAAGTTGAATTTCTTTTCCTGTTTTCACTACAGATGCAGTCAATGGGGATCATCAGCAATTCATTAAATGGAATGGCATCATCTGAAGACACTGGTTTATCAATTAGTAATGAAGCAAACATGATGAGTGACTCTGATTTCATTCACTGTTTTAGGAGAGATTCCAATAAAGTACAAAGCTACTTAAAAATTCTCAAATGTAGGATTATGCCAGAAAATAGTTGCTAAATTGTACTCCTTTGACAAGTAGTCTTCAGCATGTTGCTTATAAAGATTTTAAAAAAAAAATAGAACTTCTAAATTATCACTTTAACAGTAATTTTAATAGGAAAGTGTTTTTAAAATCCTTTGGAAGCTGGCATAGTTGACCAATGCAGATGAAATACTAAAGCCTCGTGTGTGTATGTCAGTTAATGCACCGATAAAAAGGAGTGCTCTAGCATTAGATAAATAAATGTTCTTGCATGTTACACTGTGGCAGACTATACTATGGCTGATTCACAGTTTAGATAAATACATAGAATTACAGAATGGCTTGAGTTGAAAGGGACCTTCATGATCATTGAGTTCCAACCCCCACTCTGCCACTGGCAGGGATTCAATCCACTAGATCAGGTTGGTGAGGGCCCCACCCAAGCTGGACCTGAACACTTCCAGATATGAGCCATCCACAGCTTCTCTGGGCAATGTATTCCAGTGCCTCACCATGCCTTTGAATAAAGAACTTCTTCCTGACATCTAATCAAAATCTCTCCTATTTTAATTTAAAACCATTCCCCCTTATCCTGTCACTCTTATCTATGTAAAAGTTGCTCTCCCTCTTTTTTATGAGCAATCTTTAAGTCATGTATGGCTGCAATGATATTTCCCTGGTGCCTTCTCTTCTATCAGCTAAACCATGCCAAATCTCAGATTGTTTTCATGAGGTTCTTGTGGGCCCACTTCTTAAGCTTGTCCAGGTTTCCCTGGATGACATCCCCCCCTTCTGTTGTGTCAGCTGCATTGCTCAGTTTTGTATCTGCAAACTTGCTGAGGATGCACTCCATGCCACCCTCTGTGTCATTAAGGAAAATACTGAAGAGCACCAGTCCCAAGACAGAGCCTTGAGGGACACCAGGTGTCACTGGCCTCCCCCTGGACATAAGAACCACCGCTCACAATCTCCTGGACACATCCAACCAGCCAATTTCTTAACCACCAAATAGTCCAACCTTCAAACCCATGGCTCTCCAATTTGGAGATTAGGGTGTCAAGTGGGACCCTGTGGAAAGCCTTACTGAAGCTGAAACATAGGTACAACATAGTTGAAAATAAGACTCAATCTGTTAAACCACAGTACATCTGTATACTATCAATAAAGTATATTTTTCCCTAAAGAAAATGTTTTCCCCCATTTCTATATACATACCTACCTGCAGAATATTGCTTAACACTGAAGAGGGGCATTGATGTCGATCAGCTCATTTAACTGCAGAGCCTATGCCAGATTTTTACATTCACATCATACTTCTTACTGATTTCTGAGGATTCTCATATGTGTCCCATAAAATGTAGAATTTTTATTCATTTTGAATGCCCTTTTATATCTGTAATGGCTTCACTGATTTCAGTAGAAACTCCTAAAGAAAAAGTTTGTGAAAAGTAAGTCAGAATTCTGGTCCAAACAGCATTTCAGTCTAAGGGCTGAGCAGTAAGTCTCTTTCCCATTCCACATGCTGACACAGGTCTTGGGTTTTACAGTAATTATTACAAACTCCATTGCAAATAAAAATATGAAAGCTCTCAGATATTTTAAGGAAATCACATTTTCCTAGCAGCAGGGTGGTGCTGCTGGCTGTGCATAAAACAAAACTTCTTTGCATTCAGAGCCTGAGACAGTTGAACAAGTAGATATAATCAACATGGATCTATTTTTAATATTCTTGACTTTTTTACCACAAAATGCTCTTTTCTGGCCTTCCATGATCTTGATGGTTGCTGACAGTAGCAAGAGCTCAGGCAAGCAAGAACAAGGAGTAAAATGCTGATGATTATTTAATAATGATACTAAATTTGGACTTGAGAAACCTAGCAGAGAAAGATGTCAAAGAAGCATTTATGCAGACCAGAGAAACAACATTTTAGTTACATGCCCGTAACTGCAAATATCCTCAGACATCCCCTGTTGGGTAGATGGCAGCTGTACTTGTGAGTGTTCACAATTCACGTCTGCTGTGCCAGGTGTAGTAGAAAAGCAATGTGCTACATTGTGCTTGCCCTGAAGAAGTTATAGCTGCAGTTCCTTATGCGGTGAGATACCACAAACACAAAATGAAATAGCAGCATTCATGGACAGGTTCTGGGGAAATTCTGGAAAAAACCACAGCTCCAAAGAGAGCAAAGGAAGGCTCCTCTGAGCGAACAGACAGAACCAGAGGGGGATGCCCACAGTGCCTGCACCTAGCTGCGATCCCAGAAGATGCAGCGGCAATTAATAGCTGTAGCATTCATGCGGCCATCTGGTGTAGCCTTGGTGGCGGGGTACAGCAGCCCTCGGGCTGCATGTGCCTCCCGTGCCAGCGAGGGGTCACTGCGGGCTCCCAAACGCCGCAGCGGGGCCGCCGCGCCCTCCCTGCGGAGACAAGCGGTGCCGGGGTAGCGCCGCCGGGAGGCGAGGGGCACAGACAGACACGGCGGGGGCTGACGGCACGGAGCTCCCTCCGGACCCGCTGCAGCCCGCCCCGCTCCCGGGCACCGCGCACGGGTGGCAGGGTAGGAGGCGGCCGTGCTCCCCCGGGAAGTGGCCGTGTCCCCCGGTCCTGCTTGGTGCAAGCAATGGCAAGCGAATTGCACGGTGACTCAGACATCAGCCGTACCCGCAGCTGGCAGGACGTCCCAAGGGTGCAGCTGAGGGTCAGAGGAAAACCGCGCAAACGGAGCAGGTGATACAAAAAACTCTCACATCCGCCGAAGTGCTGAACCCTGGGAACGTTTTACTGTACAGAAATGTGAAAAGAGAGAAAATGAGATAGTGGGTGGCACACGAGGAACAGTGCACCGAAGTGTTATCCACAGTCATTCATCCTCATTAGTGTTATATTTCAGTTTTGCCTTTGGCTGAAGAGAGGCATGTTGGTAAAACAAAAGCCTTCCTACATTGCTGGCATTGCTTTGCTTCCTCTTGTGATTGAGGAAACAACTGAGCAGTGGGCTGAAAAGGGTATCCTTTTCTCTGTGGCCACCGATGCCTAAAACAGAAATACAGCGATGGCTGCGTTCTGCACAGGGGAATACTTCATCTCCTGCATGATTTCCTCCAAGACAGCAGCATAACTGGTTAGGAGAATTTGATCATGTTAAATCGTGTGCTACTATCAAAAGCTTTGGAGTTTAAGAATCCATCACATTTAGATCTGAATATTAATTTAGGAGAAACAATTCTGTAAATTAACGGAGAATCAGAAAATCAGGATTGGCTTCCAGTTAAGCACTGGCATCATGTGCAACAAAATAGGTAAGTAATGGTATAATTTCCATTTGTGAAACAATCTGTTTCCATTAAATTTCCCGCCAACCAAATAAATTTAAGACTTAAAACATCTCCATTGTTCTTCAGACCTTATTCCATGAAGCACTGCAGGATAATCCCAGAATACTGACATTTTTGTATAGTCCAATTTTTTTTTTTTCAATTATTAGAACTGGCTTTTGCACATCAGTAATTTCCTCATCATGTTTCCATTTTTTCAGAATGATGAAGGATACACCAGAGACACTTCCAGTGACTGAAAATTTATTTTCTTCCTTTCATAATGCACTAAACGGTACTGATAGTGTATCTTAAATTTAGACTGAATCTTGTATGCGCTGATGTTTCCACGGTAGACTAAGTGGCTAATGTCACTCATAGTTTAGCTCTTATCTAAACCCATGATTTCAAAACAGAAACAAAATTGAAACAGTCTTCTTTGCACAATACGCATGCATGTTCAGCTACCTTCATTCAAATATTGACCTGTAAATAAAAATTGCTTGGAAAAACTGAAGGATTCCTCAAGGGTTGAATGCTTATAAAAAGTGGCATTTCTATGTGCCTTAGAAAGCACTGGAAGATCACTATAGAGATGTTATCTTCTGACATCCCTGTCCACCATGCCCAGCTTCAGTGCTCAGAATTACAACCAATATAAAACCAAGGAGTTGCCATTCTCTGACCATGAATTTTGGTGCAAGTCTGCAAGGGGGAACTTCAGACCCAGGTTTAACTATGCTGGTTTACCTTACAGTAAAGGTGATAAGCAGTCACCAGGTACATCTCTTAGAAGCACACTCACTTTAAGACTTCCTCAGTCCACAAGCATTTCATCCACTGCAAACCTTTCTCTATAGGAGCTTTTTTTCTCTGTAGGTCTCCCTGTAGTTGAAAGCTGAGTCTTAAGTTAATTGGACTCTAATTCCTCTCTATTCCTTTCTAAAGGCACTGGATTTACAGCTATCATCATGAAATTGGTTTGTCTTTCCTTCTAGTATGTGAAAATCAGTAACAGTCTAGTTGGTAGAGGGTGCTGAAGCATGTGAATGCACTTAATTTATGTCAGTCTTTTGACTGCAAAACATACATTCATCAGAGGAGCTGTGTGGCTACAGTGATGGCAACTGGTATTTAAAACCCAGTACTAGTAAATCACAGCAGATAAAACAAATCTGATGTATTACTGCAGCTCAGGAGTGACATTTGACCTTTGTACAATTGTTCTGACACTGAAGTTAGTAATGCAGTTTTGTGCCTTAAAGCAGCCCTGTTCTCAGCTGATCATAATACTTGATTCCTGTTTGGCAAAGGATCAATAAAAACAAGGTAACTTTCAGAAAATCATTTTATACTGTAAATATATACAACTAAAGTTTAAGTGCTGACACACCTATTAAAAATCCAGTTTTTAACAATGTTAAATGAGGTGCATGGAGGAGCTAGCTGGTCTTTCATGTTCACAGGCTCACAGCTATTCATTCACATGCAGTAAAATATGACTGTGGCTGTGTCTGATACAGACTGCAAAAATCTGCATTGTGATACATTTTAAAAGTCCAAGAGCTCCGAAGGAAATCAGCAGCATCTTCTTAGGTATCAGGGAAGCTCCTCTCCCTGTCTTTAAGAACACACATTCAAGATCCACATTCAGACCCGTATGGATGACCATCAATAGGTGGGATGAGAAAAGTCCCTTCTGTTCCTGAGGCTGCTGGGCTGGGCAGTGAGATCTCTGTGTCAGCAGCACAGCCTGAGAACATGGAAGTTCGCAGCTCAGTTAACAAAGCGAGTACTGAGTCTCAGCCTTTCCTCTCTGTCCTTGTTGTATTCTGTATTACATTAGCATTGATAAGTTGCCAGAACAAACAGAGAGGTGCCCAGTGAGTATAAGTATCTGCTTTGTTTGCAGCCTCTGAAGAGATAAGGTTTTTAACTGTGGTTTGCAATTTGCGGTACCCGAACTCTCCCCAGTCCCAGGATCTCAATAAATGTCCATCATAATATTCCACAGCTGGTAACTATAGTCTCAAAATGCTACACACAGGAAATACCTCAAGTACCCTACAACCATGCTGCAAGATCATCCATCAGGTCAAATCTGTGAAGACAAGCAGCACATTGCTGGTTTTAACCTAGGTGTCACTGGTATCTACCATCTCATTCCCTTACACCAGCTGCACTACACCTTTCACCTCTGCACTGTGAATCTTATGAAGCAGTTCAAGTATCTGCTGGGCACTTTGCATACGTGTGCTTTGTTCTTTCTAAAACTAGTAGGCATACCATATTTGAAGAAACCAAATACCACTTGATCCTTCACAAAGAAAAGACTGGCACTGTAAATATATTTTTGTATTTGTACAGGGTGCTATTTCTCATTTACCAAGTTTTCACAGTATGGACTGAAGAGAAACTTCTCCTTTATTTAGCAAAAAATCAGAGGAATAAAAATTTTGTGTTTCATGAGCCTAAATCATAATTTAATCAGACTATTTTAGATAAAATTCAAGATTTGGATGTATACTTTAGGGTTTTTTAAAAAGCTTGGTCAGCATTTTCAGACAAAGAATCTTTTATCTGGCATACTGAAACTTCATTCTAGCTGTAAAGTAAGAACACTGATAGGAGGTGTTAAGAGATTTGGAGAATCTTGAAATGGTTTAAGTTTTAACAGGCTATAGTGAAACCAGAATTTGTTGAATTTAAAACACCTGTAATATTCCAATTGTGAAACCAATGCTGCATGAGCCTTGCTTGATCTTTGCTCAGTGAGACAGCCTTCAGATGTATTCTGTTCAGCACATCAGCTCAGTTTTGACAGTAGTTCATATTTTGTGCTTGCAACACTGTGAACTGAAAGAATTTCCCAAGGAGCATTCTGAATCACATCTCCCATTTCCAAAAGTGTTGCTTCTAGCACTGAGGCTTCATTGACTTGCAGTAAAATAGTATGAGCAGCTGGGAAGGCTCCCTTTTCATTAAAGGTGAGATTAAAACCCCCCACCACCCCACCATACAGATTTCCTCCAAAATGGGAAGCACTGATGAATACATGCACACATATATACCACCACCTGATCATTAGATGGTACTCTGGAAATATTGCAATGCAATTTCACACCCATCTGGGCTACTAACCCTAGCTGGTTGCTCAGGCAGGAGCTGGTCAAACAGGACAGGATTTCAACACCAAATTCATCCCCATGTGTACACAATCTGTCTGTTCTCCTACCCACCAAATTCTTCTTGCACAATCTAAGTTGGTTTCGGGATTTCAATTGCAAGAGAGGAATAAACTCCTCTCATTACTGACCAGTATATAACATGTGTTCAAGGGCTTTCTGAGGGTAGGTGTTGAGGCAGCTTACACTAATGAAGATTTGTAAGTGCAGGAAGAGATAACTTCTTAATTCTTCTGTAATTTGTTTTTTTTCTTTAAATCAAGCAGAGGAAATGACATGCAAGGAATGCCACATAATGCAAAAACTAGGATTACATATTTGGCCACTGAGACAGCAGGATATGCACAAGGCAAGATACAAAACCCACCTTATCGTGCATAAATGATACAAGGATCATCATTGCAATCTCAAGTTTTTTAGCTGCAGATGTATCCAAACTTCACCTCCCAGATAATACAATGTAACAAGGGGAATAGTAAATCATCTATCAAAAGGTAAAACATTAAATAACAACTTACTCTACAACAATTGCACGGTTGGAAGATGTACAATACAGTTCAAAATATCTGAAGCTCAAGGCAAGTATAATCAGAATAATCAGAAACATTCAAGGCATATATGATAAGAAAAGCCAGACTAGATTATCATAATCTTTTGCCTATAAAATGTATCAACAGAAAGAAAATAGTCCCTATAAAACCTATAATGTGGTCCATAAGGTTTTGCCTGTAACATAAAATATCTTTAGTCTCTCTTCTCAACAAAGGCATCCATAAATGTATGAAAAAGAAAATGAATGCTATGCTCCCATTTTTAGCTATAAAAATTTGCAAATAAAACAAAGAAAGATACACCTAAATTCATATGCTGACCTCCTTAAATTGGATTAAGCAAGAAAATAATTTTAAGTAGCTTTAATAATATTCAAGGCAACTTGTATTACAAAGAATACTGTCCTGTCTTTGATACAGATATATGCTAATTCGTCCTTAATGGCACCAGTTTAAACAGCAATAAGCCAGGAATAATGCTACTATTGGTACATCATCTCCATAAGTAATTTTCTGAACTGGCTGTAGTAGCAATTTTTCCAGTTATGGGTCTGTTGTTTAGTGCATTTTTGGCTACAATTCTGCACACTGTCATTGCAGTTTTGAAATACAAAAGATTCTACCAACAGCCAAAAAAAAAGACACCGCAATTCAAAGTTAAGAATGCTAGTAGATTCATGCATGGACAGAAAGACAGAAGCCAGTGAACTGCACTTTCCAGTACACGCACTCATCAGTGTTACTTAAACATGGAACATTTTAGGTTGGTTGCCTTTTAATATTGCATAACTTTACCGAGGTTGTCGGTTGACCTGTGACTATTTAAAGCTAATTGAATACTGACATAGGTGAAGACAGATGGAGAAAACACACCAAAATGCTTGTATTTGTCCATATGAATCTACTGTGTTACTTCATGAATTTCTAAAAGAACCCAAAACCCCTTATTGTCTTGACAGAAGAGCTCTTTTTATCTCATGCACAGAAGAAATTAATTGGTCTGACTACAATGAGAGATAAAAGTGATTCTCTATTAGTGTATTTTTAACTAGCATCACATACAGTGCAGATGTATAAATCAGAGCACAAATTCAGATTCATGTTCTTCACTTCATTTTACTTACCATCCGTTGCTATTTTACTTTTAAGGTCAGTATAAGAGTGGAAAAGACACAAGAAAAAACTGAATATTGAAGAATACTTCTTTAGTCATTAGTTGTTTGTAATTTTAATGGTGTTAGACTTTAGCATATTTTTGAAGCATAAACTAGTTAGCTTTACAATGTTCAAATATTGTTAATCTTAAAAGACTGCTCATTTGAAGCCTGCACTCTTCCACTCCACTTACAAACAGCCCCTACTCTCTTACACTTGATGATGCCTTGTTTGCAGTGTCTTGGTCAGGATACAAATAGAGTGGGCTCTGCAATGAATTTGCTCTTGGAGGTGGTTGTGCAGTAGTCAGTCTTTCAGAATTTCCTGGAGAATTCTCCCTCCACCTTGGACTTGCCCGCTCTTCTGACATTTCCCACACAGATGGGCATGGAGAGGTAAAATTCATGGTGGATCGTGAGAGGTAGTTCTCCTGAAGACCTTCTTCTTGGAGGCACCTGTTAGAAAGCACTTCTTTTTCTTTGGAGTTTCGCCATTTCATCCTTCGATTCTGAAACCAGATTTTCACCTGTTTGCAAATTAACGAGAGTTTATTATTATTCTTTGCTTTAAACAACTTTGCCCTAACAAGTGGTTTTTTCCTTTCCATCCTCTTAGTTTCATTATTTGTTATCACAGTAGAGAACCAGTGAAGCCAGCTGACTGATATTATCTGAGGATTTTCCCATCACTATTTACTACACCTGGAACAAATACAAATATTCGCCTTGACTTTCACCACCTACAATAAATTACTTAGCTTAGAGAGGAAAATGGACAGCCCAATGGCTAGGGATAGAAAAGCTTCCTACAAGCAATATCCTTCTTGGCAGAAGAGAATTCCCAGAGAAAATTAGTATAATCATTAAGAAAACTAAGTGATAAAACTGGTGGTATGAGGGCCTCTGTTAAGCAGAGGCTGTAAGAAGCATGACTGTTCCCTTCACAAACATAGCTAAAATCAGCTTGGCCATACAGAAAAGTGTATTGTGACATAGGAGACAGGATTGAGAATTTAGAGACATTTTGCCTGCCTGACTACAGTTTTCCAGGAGTTGCCCAGAACCCATGTGATTTTGAGATAAAATCAACTTTTCAAAAACTTCGAGTTGCAATTCTTAAAACAAGCATTCAAAGGCATTTATGAAATGCTGGGGAAAGCTTGGGGGAGTATACAACCAGGAACTGGTTTTACATGAAGAGAAGAAAGGTAAGGGTGATCAATCAAATTATACAGATTAGGTTCTCTTTTCCCTTAAATATTTGCATTTAAGTCTAGTATTCAGATACTTGATATGAAGACAAAGGTATGAGAATCATTGTCTTAGATGACAGGTACTGTTCCTCCACCACAACTGATCAGAAAATTGAAGAAGTAACCTTCACAGCAACTTCTCTTCCTTTCATGGGGGGTATAAAAAAAGAAACTAATATCATCTGGTCTGTCACTATCACAAAATTATATTCTTGTAGTGGTAGTGGTTATCTATGTATCATTACATTATTTTTTACACACCCAAGCTCTTGAATAACATGAGCACAGAAAGTAATCTCAAGGAAATAACTGTAATACTAGGAATTTGACTACATTTTGGGAAATACTTTAGGCAGCACACTGGTGAGTGCAATTGCACGTTTTGATTGCAATAGTTTTACTGCAGAGATTACAGTTCTGTACATCACACTGAGAAACACAACACTCCGCTGTTGTGTTTATTGTTGCGGTGCTTGCAACAGTGCCTGAGTCATTAGGTTGCAAGGAACCAGCACAGATCACCAGATCCAACCTCCTGTGCAAACTAGAGCCAACTGCAAAGTTAGATCAAACTGTTGAGAGCCTTTTCAAGTTCTGAAAATCTCCAAGACAGAGATGACAAGAGCTCTCATCACCACTCTCAGGCTTTTCTGTCCCCAAGATAGCTTCTGCACATGTATCTTAAGCACTTTCAATCTTACTGCATTCAAAGACACAAAATTGTACTGTCACGTCTCAGTATTTCAGCTGCAATCTTGAGGGCTGCATCTACTCCAGCACCTTCAGATCCTACCTGTCAGCAACTACCATATTAATTTTCTGCTGTTACATGCCCTCACAAACTTTTTCCTCCCAGCTTCTTTCAGATTTTGTGCTCTTCAAGCCAGGCATTTTTCCTATGTTTTTATCTGCAGATAGGCGAGGGCCCAAAGATTCCCGATTGTGCCACTGCTGCTCAGCACCACTATTAATGTAGTTGTTCAGGCACAACACCTAACTGGAGGCATTAGACCCTCAGCTAAACTCTAAAATCCTGCAGCAGACCAACTCAGACTCATGCAAAAAATCCCATGAAATGGGAATTGGCAAGTAAAGTGGGAGTGTTTTAGCAGGTCACCCTGCAAAGCTTTATTTCTTATGGTATCTCTCAGCTCTAAAAATATCTTTCTTTGTGCAGTCAAGTGTCATTCCATAGGGATGGTTGACTGTCTGCTGCAGAACAGTTCCAGAGGAAGTGCTGTTGACTGCATTGTCCCTAGTTGTTCATCTGTGAGTGCAAAGGGTGAAGGAATGATCTATGCTCTCATGTTTTTGCCTTTAGAGCACAGGGATGGACCATAGTTCCCTACCCCAAAGCTTCCAAGGGAGCTCTGTCAGACAGCAAAAAAAAAGGGAGTTAGAAATGAAACACAGAGGTCATGTTTCTTTGTGTGAAAATGGAGCCATCAAGTTTTGAATGTACACAAACAGAAAATAAACCAGGAAACTGTTGAAGTACTCCCGAGTTTAAAGTGCCATTGGTTTACTGAGGTCTTTGCAGGTAAAAGAGCTCAGGGCTGCCCCTGCACTGTTCAGTTTTCCTCCTTCAAAGTAATTTTAAAGATCTCTCCCCCAAAAGTACATTTCTTACCTGAGACTCCTTTAGACCCAGGTTAAGGGCCAGTTTCTTCCTGTCTGTTTTACTAATATACTTCTGCTTCTGGAACATTTTCTCCAAAGCTTTCCTCTGGTCTTCAGAAAAGACAGCTCTTCTTAATATGCCTCTCCGGGATTTGGAGTTAGACTCCTGGGTCAGAAGAGGCAGCACACTTTCCTCCCCTGTTGGAAATAGATGAGAATTTTCCAAAACATCTAGCATATATCAGAGAACTATTAAGTGCTGTTCATTATAATGGTTGCAGACTCTTGTCCCACTTTTGATTTGTTGGTGTTATAAGTGTGTTGTAATGCTTCAGCCATGTTCATTAAGGATTAAATCCTCACTTGGATATAGAGGTGTTGTCAGTAGTCACGAGTCTCCCCCTGACATGGTACAAAGAAAATCAGATGAGTCCATAGAGGAATATTAGGACAGAGCCCATGCTACTGCAAAATTCAAATATAGTCAGGGGGGAACTTTTCTTTGCCTGTCATCACCACTGAGTAAACTGCAACAAGTTTTCCTATGACTTTATTTACTCCTTGTGTGGAATGTAAAATGAGATAAAAGTGATCTGTAATAGTGATTCAAAGAAACAAAGTAGGCTTCCCTCTATTTTTTTTTTTTTTAACTAATGAAAGAGTTTCAGAGTGATCTATTTCTCAGAAAATCCCTGGTCATTCACTTAGTTATTATGGAAACCACAGCAATTTTTATATTAGAGGATTTGGAGAGTACCTGGACTTACTTCTTTCAGCCTGGTTTCTAATCCTTTGACATCTCATAGCAAGTCCTGGGAGGGCAGCTTTCAGTGTATCGAATCACATCCCCTAAATGCACGCCTAGAGGGAGCCCTACCCTGGAAAACAGCCTCAAAGCTGGGGGACAGAGCTGCAGTGAAGAAGTAGAACTGTTTACACAAAGCGCACAGAAACCCCAAGATAAATCTCTCGTGTTCCTCACACCCAATAAAACCTAAAGCCATAGTGCTTTCCCATGCTCCCTCTCTCCTAGAAAGATATGGTGTATGAGAAGCAGTACTTGGTCAGGCTTCATATGCTTCCAGTGCACCCACCTTCCTCAAATACTCAGGAAGCAGGAGAAGGGATCATTTGAATAAAGCCATCATCAAGCAGGGCATGCGATTATTAGGGAGAAGCAAGCAGGCCACGAAACAGCTGCACTTTGGCTCAGAAATCCATGCCATGGCTGTACAGCCACTGGCACCTACAATCTTGCTGTAGGAGTGGGAATTCAGATGCAAGCTGCCCTCCTGCTGCCCACCACTTTCTCAAGTCCACAGTCCTAGACTGCCCTCCCAGTTTATAGTTACAGCAGCAGCAAAGGTGTGCTGCTGCTCAATTCCTACAAAGGATGTGACCATTTTCATATCAAAGCCAAAAGCAAATCCTCCCTGAAAATCAGATTTTCTAAAATACTAAACTTTTTTTTTTTGTGTAGAAGTCTATCTATTCTAATCAGCTGTAATGGGGTGGGAGGGAAATGACATACATTTTTTCAATTGATATAGTGCCCTTGAAAATACTAATGAAATCCAGATGCAGCTTCCACAAACTGTCCTTGGGGCTACACCACATTTCAACCCCAGTATATTATACATACATACACATGGGTATATGTATCTTTAAACACCCACAGAAAAACAAACACACATATATTGAGGGTATTGTAATATAATGATGAGAAACTGAAGTGTATATCTGTATGTCTTGCAAAGTTGACTAAACACTTTTGTAGCCATGTATTACTAGTAACACATGATATTGATATTACTTACACTGCCCCTGCATCCTGCTTCCAACTCTGACCAGTAGAGCAGAGCATCAGAAGCTGAGCAAGTGTGCAATGATTATTCCCTAAAATAAAACTACCCCTGTGAAACATCACTGATTTAGAGCCCATTGCATTCTGTCAATTCTTTTCTTGAACTTTTCATGTCAAGAAATCAAGATGTTTTTATTTGGCACTCATAACAGCATGTGGTAAAAAAGAATTATTATGATTTGCAATGTTACAGTATAAATAATACTTAATTTATACATATGTACTTCAATTTTCAAAATTATATCTAAGACCAGATACAAAAATCATAAGCTACTGGTTAATGTCCTGATATTTATTACTCAGTGATATGATACACAGTCAGACTTTATCCAAATCACAATAAACCATCTGCAGAACAAAAGTAAAAATACCACAATGGAAGGGCAAGCCAGGCTGATATTTCTCTGGGGACTGCAGAGCCTATTCATAACCCCCACTGCATGCTCTAATCACACCTACAAAACTGGGAGCAAGCTGAGAGCCTTCCCTCCTCATGCACGTTTTCTCTTTCTTCTCAAACTTTGTGAATTTAGGTACCTTTTTCCAGGTAGCCTCTGAGTAGTTTCTGCTGAATTGTCAGCATTCTCAGGTTTAGTGGAAGGTACAGTCTGAGCCAGCAGCAGAACTGGTATCTTCTCTCCTCCCCATGGTGGGATGAGAGACACCAGCAAGGGAAGAGGCGTAACAGGGCTGGTCCTCGCCTCCCGGCCTCCGCTCCACAATGGAGTTGTCAGCCAAGGACAGAGGACGCCAAATTATGTGACCCCTTAAAATTTGTCTTGCCTGGCTGGTTGTTAACAGTCAATCAGCAAGGAAACAACCTCCTGCTGGAGCCTCAAGGCACCAATTAATTCCAGTTCAGGCAGTATGTAGGGTCCAGCTTAACACCTATATTAGACTAATAGTGAGGCATCTTTACACTCTAAGGCACAATATGTGATGGATTTTAAAAGATTAACTGAACAAAATTTAATATGAGCAGAATGCTCAGAAGCATTAACAAACAGCCTATAGAACAAAATATCTGAAACCTACCACCAACTGAGTAGCCTGGAGAATTTTTTTTAAATAAGCCATATTCTAAAATGCACTCCAACTGTTACACAAAAACTCAATTTCAGTTTGCGGATTATAGACCTTTTCAGTGCAGCAGGAGAGGCAGTCATTTATACATTTCAACAATTCCAGCAAAATTAAATATGTCCGTTTGCAGCTCGTCACTCTGAACATGCAGCAGGTTTAGTGCTCTGCTCACATAAATGTGACCAACTATTTTCTATGTTACTGATTTGATTTTTGTTAAGTCTTTCCTTTGTATCCTAATATATTGTGATAAATGTCCCCTTAATCTGTGGAACAATCTTCATTTGCCTTCATGGCAGAGACCACCTTGAAGGAGCAAGTAAAAGCTTTAGTCATGGTTTCCATTTTTTCATTAGAATTCAATACATTCTAGTTAAATGGACAATTAATAGGTCACTTCCAAAATAGTAGTGTATCAGTCCTGGTTAATAAACAATCCCCACAGTTGATAATGGGCCTATGTATTCAGCAAGTCCCTGTATACACTCAGCTCATCCACTAAATCCCTTTTCAGGTAGACAGGGTTATATGGGAAGATGAGCTAGAATGAGTCTATAAAAGTCAGTTTCATTCACTGCTTTATTTTTCAGTCAAGTGCTTTAAATGGTGTCCAGAAAATCTCTTGGAATGTGAGACAGGAGAAAAGACTGGCACATAGAGTATTGCTTTATGGCCATACAAAAGGGCAACTGACCCTTGCCCAGGCCTTTTCAATGTGAAATGGTTCCTAAAGTTCATCTGCACAGTGAAAAATTGTGGTGAGGTCGCGTGTGGATGAGTAAAGTGAAAGTGGTGATTGGTCATGGTGCTGTCAGCCATTGTGGGAGAGCCGAGGCCATGTAAAACGCTCTGTGGGAAAGTGTCAGCCCCCTAAAGAGGTGCTCAGAAACTTGCAGCTCATTAAACTGCCAGCATTTGCTGCCTCACTTGTCAAGAATCATTCAACTTAGCAACTGCCCTCCTGAAACATTCATAAAAAGCATGCACTTTAGTCAGGAATGGTTTGAATGCAACTGTGATAAAAAAGTATATGCCAGAGCACATATAAGTGCTACTTTTCATTTGGATTTGACAAGAAATTTGTGCTTTTCTTTCTGTTTTGAAGAAAGAGGGAATGCCCCTTCTGTTTTCATTCCTGAGCCATAAGCATAAAATCATGACTGTCCATTCTTACAACTTTGGCTTGCAATCTTCCCAATCAAGGTTAAATTTAGTTTTGGATTAAATGGATTCTTAATCCTGAACGGATAGTGAACACTTGTCAAAATTCTCTTTAACATACTTCTTCAATTTTTTACATTATAATTAAAAAGAGAAACAAAATTAAACATGTGCACACATTTGACTACTACAAAAAGAATGACTGTTGTATTTAAATAATGCTAAAGCTTCCTGAATCATAATCTACACCCCTAACAAACATTAAAATGCAGCACGCATTTTACAATCCTCCAGCTCTTTTCTTATTTGCAAATGTTTATTGACACTGATTTTTTAAAGAGTTACTGATTTTAAAGAATTGTTTCCAGCAAACTGAAAACAAGGCACTTTCTTAGGTTAGCCCTGTCTGGGTGTCTCAATGCCATTAGAAACCTCTCACAATTGCTCAGTGTACTTAAGTTTGATAAATCTTTGGAAACCCTCTGAATAGGATTGCTGTGATTTTACTAAGGAATTAGCTGCTGCCATTGCATCACCAATTAGTTTTCCAGAACACATTAAATCCTGCTGCTTTGGTTTACAGAATAACTCAAGCATTACTGATGAAGCATAAAAACTTACTTGGAAAAGCAGTGGGGGATGCAGGGTGCTGACAGGACCCACCACAGCATGCTGAGTAGAATGGTGGGGCTCGGAGAAAAAAGTGTTTGGAAAGAGCTGCAAAGAAAGCATAGATCTAATTGATTATCCATTGAGCTTAGGTGATATTCATAACAACAGTCCTCCAAAAAGTCAGTGTGTAAAGTCCTGCCCCACAAGTTCTTTTTCCTTTTTTCAACATGGTGATATTTTTAAGGCAAACAATGATAAACCAAGTAATTGCTCTTTAATTTAGCAAGGTTATTTTACATGTGTAGCTTAGCTATAATATGCAAAACTCTCCCTATAAGAATGAAGCTCTACAGAATAGAAATTTCCTTCTGTAATTGCTGTAATTATGGCAGTTTTCCTAAATATTGGTATTGAACATATTGTTTCAATAATATGCTGTTGAAATAATGAGTATAATGAATCTGAAAGTTATTTTAAATAACTCTAGTCATCTTACAAAAAAAAAAAAAATCAGCTGGAACTCCGATGCTGTTAACAGCACTCAAACCAATAATGTCCTCAACAAGAAACCTTTAGGAATAAAATTTATAAAATGCCATGAGATGAAACAGCTGAGTTCTACAGGCACATACTACAGAGCCTGATTCTGTTTCTCTGACTGTCAACTTAGTCTTGCTGGGCAAGTGCTTGAAATTTAAATAAACCACTTGCTGAAGGCTCTGCTTGATACAACAAAAAAAATCTGCAAAGTCAACTCACAGTATTAGGTAATATTTGGTAAATTTTTACAGATTTTTTTTAATTGCAGTCTCTCATATCTAAAAAGAGCTTCCAAATCATGGAAAGCTCTTCATTATTTATTTATCCCCTTAATTTTTTCTATAAGGCTCATGGGATTTTCCATTAATCTTAATTACCTATCAATTTCTGCTTGTTCTAGTCAACTATGAAACCTGGGATATTTTTTTTGTTTTGAAAAAGATACATCATTGCTAGAACTGAACACTTGTAAAATGTGATCAGCATCAAAACATCTATGTCACTTTCGTGTTTTGGTTTAGGCACAAAATAAGTGGCTTTAGAGCCCGTACTATAGTTGTCCAAATCTCCAGAAAAAAATTAAAATAAAAAAAAGTAACTGCAGACTTGGGTAAAAAAAAAATAAAAGAAATCAACAATCAAAAAGAAAGGTAAATAGATACATGTATCTAAGCCATGCTGCTAGTAAAAAGTTTTTCAACTGCAATTAAAAATAAAGATAATTCAACATTAATTTTCCAAGTATGTATTAGGACCTCAAAATAAGTTTCCTGACCCTTAAATTTGCTGTTATCCCAGAGTAAAAAATTTATTTCTACAGAAGTCTAACTCTAAACATTTTTTAAAGTATTAACTTGCAATTGCTAGCTGATAAACATTTTAGTGGTACAGCTTTCTATTGAAATTCTGCTGTTTCTAATGAAATACAAATTAACTGCCTGGTTTTGAGGCATATACTTGCAAAACATTTAAAAAAAGAATGATTTACACCAGGCATTAGCATTCTAAAGGTTCTTTTCCACACAAGACCACCAAATGTGGAACACGTCCTTAGAAACTTAAAATCATCAAGAACATGCAGCCAAATCCTACCTATCCCATGTATCCAAAGGGTTTCAATGCAACTGGTGAAGTGTGTAAGCTGGAAAGAATCTGAGTGACACAAAAAGCACAGGAGCTGTAGAAGATAAATATCAGCCAACCTCCTGGACATTCGAGCTCGTCATTGACAGTATATTTTATCCTGTGAAACTCCCAGACTCTCAGGTGAAGGAGCTTTTCCTCCCTTCCTTGGTAGACTCATTCCTTGTGCTTTTATCACATTTCCCTTACAGTCCAGCAAAACTCTCCACCTCTGAAAATATAACTTAGAATACAGAAGATGGCACACTCCATTCCTTTGCTTTCTTCTTAAAGGCCTTGGGTATTTCTTGGCTGCCATAATGTCCTATTCCCTCCAAGCATTGCTCCAGCACCTTATTTATGCCACACAATTTTTGTCAGACATGTTATCCTGCCCTTGATATTCCCTCTTGGAGTTTCTTAACTCTGTCCAGTTCCTTGCTCTGTTTTGATAATGTGGGGTTCATAATGGCATGTGATAAAAGCAGAAGACACCTGGCTAAATCAAAATTGAACAAGATACTGACTCAGATAGAGAGCATGTTCCTGCAAGTAATGACAGGAATAGGAAAGGACAGTTTCCTCCACTCACTACATCTCTCAGCAAGTAAGCTGCAAGCATAAATGTCTGAAGATGGATCACAGTAAAAACTTAAGCAAATTGTTTGCTTAAGCAAACTCCAAGCAAGCAATATATTTCCATGGAAGTTGCTGACAATGATTTAATAGAGTAGCACAGTACTATGATGCAAACAGAAGAGATCTTGATCCTAATTCTGCTCAAGTTGATGGAAATCAGGAGTCTGGTTTACCTGGGCATTTTACTTAATTCTTTCAACCAACTGCTGCTTTTTTTGCCTGCCGGGCACGTATCTCTATGAAGCAGAATATTTACTTAAGAAGTAAGATGCAGGTGAAATCCTCAAATCCTACTTGGAACAAAGAGGTTCTTGAGCTCACTTCTCAATATTTAGTCCAGATCCTGAGTAAAAAACAATGCCATGATGTCTCTCTATGCCTATAGCCAACACATATGTCCAGTTTGTAACCTTTTTTAATGTGCTGCAGCTATACTGATGCACAGGTGAATTCTACATTACATACATGAAACTACACCCCTTCATCTACTGAAGCTGTTGCACTCAAACCAATGTGCAGCAGTTCTGCAGAGTTATATCAGTAAAAACAATGTGACATAATACAGGGATACTCAACTCTCTCTTGGCAGTTCTACATGCAGAAAAATGTTAACGCTTCAACATATCCTAATATTTTATACCAGTATATATAAATATATGCACTTATATTTTTTATCTTTGATAAAAACAACACAGTTCATCACATTAAATGGCTTCCACTACCTGCATGAAACTCCATTAACAGAATTAAAATTGCCTAGAATTATGCTGAAATTGTACCTGAAGAAATGACATAATACAGTTTTGAGAACAATACAGAGGAAGCACTACCTATTATTTTCTTTTCACATACATCATAGCAACTCTATCAATATCTGTTGATTAAGAGACCTAAAGCAAACATTCTTTGCTGTTCACATAAGGCTGAAAATTGCTGAGATTTCAGAATATTAATTATGCCATTTTTTGGCCAGAATGAGGTACACAGTAACCAAAAGGCAGCTGTTGCTCCCAGAGATATATAGGAACTTAAAGCAGGGGCAAAATCCTAATAATTTGTATTCAGGACACTTAAGCCTTTTTCTGCTTTATATCTTCATTTTATAAAACCAAGACTGTGTGGAATTGTTTCACAAGACTCAGTCTTTACAGGTTTAGCTTCACACATGCATAAAAAGTATCAAAGTGTAAGTGCCTTTTGGCACTCCAAAACCTGTATTATATGCCTTAAAAGAAAATGTATCGGATCATATATACGAAAGTATTAAATACCTAGGTTATGGGGGTTTTTCATAAAACAAATACTTTTGACACTGGTGCTGTATGCAAATTCTAGTAATAGCATTCACTACATTTATTGTAGTGAACAGAAATCATTTTACAGAAAATAAAATAATACTAAACATGTAAACAGACCTCAAGCTTATCTAGTACTAAAAGTCAGAAAGCATTTCAGATACTAAAAGATATTTTAAAAGACACTGTCTGGTCTGAAAATATTATAAATTCAAAAGCCCTTCCATTAGAAAAAGTCATACTGACAATGGGATCAGAAGTTTTCCTTCCAACTATCTATCATTTTGAGAGTAAGGCTCCTAAATACAGTCCAGCTCAGTTATGCAACTTTGAAAATGGCTTAATATTAAGGAAACTGTTTACTCTTTCTAATTCTACTGTTGTGAAATAATTCAGCAAAGAGTGTAGGCTAACAGCCATCGGGAAAGTGGGAAGGGGTGAAGGAAAAATGGCTATTAAGGGACAGTGAAACTGATGGTAAACTTCTGGTATTATCCACACAGGATCCTTCACTGCACAGGCTGCTAGTCTGTTGGGGGTTTTAAAGATAACTGATAAAAATGTGGTATCAGCCTGTGAAGAGAGCTGGAACACCTCCAAAAAGATTATTCAGAAAACTGCCTAGAGCCAGCTAACAAAACTAACAACAGAAGCAGAGAAACCTCAAGATGCATGAACACTTCAATTCTCCAAACATGCTAAGTCCACATGAACTGCTTTCCACCATGATGCCTAGGTTCCAGCCCTTGCAGGAAACTTAAATATATTATCAGTAAAACTATCATATTTCATCTGAGAACTTTGGATGGTTATGGGAACAACTGGAATTTCCTACTTACATCCATTCTTGGAAATATTTAAAGCAGGCTTTTGCAAAGCTGCAGGGAAGTGTCATGTAATGAAGAGTTCCCTGAAAACAGTCCAGCAGTAGCTCTGCCAGCTTAGTGATCCAGCTGAGCTGCATTTCTGCTCGCAAACCACAAGCCCTGGACCTCATGGTGAGTCACTGCTCTTTCCCTTGCAGTTAACTGTCTTTAGACAGTTGTGCAGCCTCAAAGCATTTCAATCCAACTGCAAGAACAAAGCAGCAGCCACTGCCATATCCCACCCAAAAGCAACTGCCATCACATGGAAGTGGAAAAACTTCCTGCGAGAGCCTGTGTTGAAGAATCATGCAGAACTGGCTTTCCTGCACTCCCAAAGTTACCATTTGCTTCCTATTTATTCCTGTAAAACACAACCACATGAATGTTCAAAGGAAGTCAAGCCAAATGGGTAAAGCAGAGTAGCATCCACAGATCAGGTTTTAAAACCTGCCAAACATTCAGAGAAAGAGTTTTAAAGTTCTAAATATATATGTTTTTAATTCCTACACAAAACATGGATGCAATGAGTGGGCTTACATTTTTATGTTGGGTCATGGTGGGGCTTTCAAAAATTGGCAGAGCAGCCCCCAAAATGGGCTTGAAATGTGCTAACAGCATAATCATCACTTACATCTACAGCAAT